GTTATTAAATAAATTTGTAGTCGTCGTATCTGTCGTTGAACTTTCAGAAGAAGTGATATTAGAATTTTCATCTTGCGTGACAAATCGTGCGTCTGATACAGAAGTATGTACGTACCAGGTACGTACGTACAGTAAATGTCCAATTGAATGAAGGAATTTGATTGGGTAATTAAATTTATCGCATTTTGTCTTACACAATACATAACGATAATAACGAATAAAGTGGATAGACCTTAACCAGTAAACTTTATCTTCTATCATGTATACTTTATTGAGTGGCTTTCACAAATACCTTACGCGTAGAGAGGAATTTTATATTGTCATACTTGGACTTGATAATGCCGGTAAAACGGTAAATAACTAAATGATTGGTTATTATTAGTATACCATTTGACTTATTTTGCTTACGGAAAAGTGGAAATGTTGATTTAACGATTAAATTTATTGTAGACACTTTTAGAGCGTATCAAGTCCATATTTCTTGGAGTTATGGGTCTTTCGCCCGATAGGATTGCACCAACAGTAGGTTTAAACAGTATGTTTAACCTTTTTTTTGCATTGAGAATTTTCAGATCGTAAGGCCCATGTATAACCAACTCTTTCATTTAAAGTCGGAAAAATCGATGTAAACAGATCACGATTAAATTTTTGGGATTTAGGAGGACAACGTGAACTACAGGGTATTTGGGAAAAATACTATTCTGAATGTCATGCCATTATATTTGTTGTTGATTCAACTGATAAAGAACGAATCGAAGAATGTAAAGAAATTTTCGGTGTGTTGGTCTAAAAGCACTATAAAAAATAATTGCTCATATTCAAGATCTATTTATTTATCCTTGTTTTTTTTTTTTTAATTGGCGATTGTATTACAATAGAAAAAATAATTACAAATGAAGAAGTTGAAGGAGTCCCAGTATTGATGTTAGCAAATAAGCAAGATTTACCAAATTCCTTAAAAGTTGAAGAAATTAAAGAAATTTTCAATAAAATTGCACTAAAGTTAGGAGCAAGAGATTCTAGAGTATTACCAATATCGGCTTTAGAAGGGTAAATATTGATCTATAATTCTTATTTACGCTTTCAATTCCTTTATTTATTTTATTTACTTTTTATTGTTTTATTTTTTTATTATTTATTTTATTTTATTTTTTTTCATTTTATTTTTCATTTTTTATTGTTTTGTTAGGGAAGGTGTGC